TGGCAGGGTTACCTATTGTTATATACAATACCTATGAAGACTAATGGGTATGTCCCAATCCTCATAAATACATTGGACACTATTGTAAGTGGGGTTAGTATGCTAAGTAGTCTACCACTAGCAGTGGTTTACCTATTTCATGCCACTGATGAGTATTGTATTTTGTTGATGTTATAAAGATTACCATTTCCAACCTGTTTTGGTTATTCCTCATTCAGTAACCTTTCCTAGGTTACAATACCTATAAAATACAGTGCTTTATGAACAAGTAAAACAATGAACAGAGCAATACATAGATATTAAGGCACTTATCTACCATCTTCACACATCCAAAATTTTCATATGCACTAATATTTGGTATGGCAGCACAATCATCAGGTGATCAGGATAGATAGGACAAAACTATATTTTATATATATATATTTTTGTCATCCATATACAAACTTTAAGTAAAACAATACTCATATGTTACTGCTTTAAACAACTAAAAGTTTCATGTGGAGACTTAGATGTTGATACCATTGTCCCACAATCCTCAGGCGGCATGAGTGATAAGATACTCAGTTGCTTATTCTTATGAAACTAAGTCATAGAAAGCAGGAACAGATGAGTATTGTTTTACTTCTATTTTATATTGGCCCAGTTTTGTATATATTTTTTTTATTTTATATTGAGCACTTGATAGCATCCCTGTTTTGGCTTTATTGTACAATAACACTCAAAAATTAAGAATGACAACATGTCTCAATAACTGGAAATCAAATAACAACAATTGAAAGAAAAGAGCAAAGGTTAAGGAGTGAGTGTGGCACCTTGCATTATTAGAAATATTCATAGAAATATGATTTAATTTTTTTTTTTACTCGGTTTATTAAACAGGTTGTTGATTTTTTTTTTTTTTTTAAACGGAAAATAATTGAGTTGAAAATAATTCACTAAGTTGTACTTAGACGATCCTAAGGAAAGAAGAAGGAAGGGAAAAAAAAGAGGAAGAAAGGAAAAAAAAAGAGAGATGGATGATGCATGACCGGTCATAAGCGAAGATAGGTGTCAGAAAGATATCTTGGCCTGCGTGTTGGCGAATTTTAAAAGACAATAGAGAATTGTTATTTGAAATGAAAAATCATTTAGAGGGAGAAAAAAGAACCAGGCTTGATGACAGTGTATTGGCGATAAGAATATTGGTCAAAGCACCTAGCCTACTTTTTGCGTGGAAAGACTCATTGTCAAATTGGAGAAAGGGAATTTCTTTTAGAACAATAGAAACGAAATTTTTTTTAATCGGAGAAAAAGTGTCTTTTGGGTTGAGGGAGTGACCGGTGGAACTGTATACAGATTCTGGCCTGTTAAGAATTGGAAACCCACGATAATAAAGTGGGGACATTTTCAATGTAGATAATTAAGATTTTCTGACTGTCGGGTCTGACAAAAACAAGAGGTGAAAAAACGATTGTCTCAGCTCACAGATGGCGCCAATATTCTTTCCTGAAGTCACATCTAATTAGCGGCAGGCTGTTTTGACAGAGCCCAGGTGAGAAAAAGCCAAGATTGTCATTTTTAAAGACGTGAAAAAAGGGCAAAATTAGATTTTGTTTTTTAAAAACAAGAACGATGTAAGCCATGCCCGATTTGAGATGGAGGCGCCCAACCACAATCTCATTGGCAAAGCGGTCACGTGATATGCGGAAAGAAGAGGAAGAATGCTCGATCAGGAACCATTGGTCAAAAAAACGGTCACCTGACATACGAGAAACCGGGAGAGATGGGTGTACGCCTCCCACCAAAGGCACTGTGAGGAAGTAGGTGTGAAAACAATAGCGATAATGGGGAAACAGAATTAATGCGGCTATTGGAATTATCGAGAAACCCCTGACGCCAACAGACCCACCCGGTTTGCTGCGGCAAGGCCAATAAAAGCAGGACCCCAGTCGACAGAAATCAGTTGAGTTGAGAGAAGCGGCTGAGTTGCGGCAAGAAATCCTTTCCACCCAAGTCGAAGACAAGAGAATCTTTCCACCCAAGTCGAAGACAAGAGAATCTTTCCACCCAAGTCGAAGACAAGAGAACTTCCAGCCCAAGTAGACGAAGAAGAAGATTACTCGAAAGCCGAGAGAGAAGATCCAGCCCAAGTCAAGACAAGAGAAGTTCTATCTAAGTCGACAAAGAAGAAGAATCAACTGCGAATGATCGATAGAAATTAGCCCCAGTGTCGAGCTAAACCACACTCCGACATACACAATTCTAAAGAGTAGGCAATTGAAATCCTTAGGTTGTGTGATAGAAGCTTGGTGCCATAGTCCACAGAGCGGGTCAGGAAATAAGAACAATTTTCTTTATGTAACGGACATTAGATATAAAGGTTGTCACCCTTTTTTATCAGTAACTTTTTGTCTCGTGAGTTTTTTTCTTTTTACTTGTGTTTTGCCACCCCGTCGGACTCAACTTGTATTTAATCCTGCTGGTCCCGTCTGTCTAAGATCTAAACACAGCGTGGGTAGACAGACCGGAGATCAGTACAGTTACTTCAGTAACCAGGTATTGGAAGCGAGTTGGGAAAGGCGAGGCTGGTGATCATCTAACCAAGGGGTTGGAGCGGCACGCTTGGAACCAGGAGGGCGACCAGGAGGAACAGCGTCACAGTTGGCGCCCGTAACCAAGGGATTCGACCCTGGGCCAGGTGTGTAACCGTCACAGAGTGTAAAGTGAAAAACAAAAAACGTTGGAAAGGAGAAATAAGCATCACATACATGCATGCACACATGCAAAATTTCTACCAAAAATGACATGGAGAGCAGAAACTTCTGCCCACAACAAAGTTACAACACACAGAATCCATGGCAGAATCACAGTGCACAGCACTGACAACAAAGTTGCTGCATCCATGAAGGACTTTCCGCAGTCTCCATGAAAGACTTAGTGTTCATGACAATCAAACTTAATCAGTTTTTCATTCCCAACAAATATTATTAAATAGATGTTTCTTGTATATTCCTTCTGTTTCACATTGATATACAAAGTTCAATTTAATTATCATTAAAGACAAAGAATATAGACATCAGGATTTATAAATATTTCTTAGCAAGACTAGTATATTTTTGCAGGCTTTTTAATATTGTAAAAATAGTAGAAGAAATTTTGGAAAGATATATTTATAAAGCTTTTAAAAGTACATTGGATTCACTAAAAAGTTTGTTTTGTTTGTTCAGACCAGCCCATTGTTAGTACAAGGGACATTTTCAACTGCCATAATAAACATTTTGAATTGTTACTGGGTGTAGATAGGTACTTTAGCTAGAAATTAATTATTTCTACTTTTAACTCAACTCTTTTGACAACCATGTCTTTGGAGTAACATAAAAAGTTAGTGCAATTAAAAAAATTTTTTTTTTATTTCCAACTTTAATGAAGAAACAAAACAGTAGGAACCTTTTGGATGAACCAATATATTTTAAAGTCTTTATCTTCCTGAAATGTCTTCTGCTATTCTAATAATATCTAAATGAAATATATAAGAGATACATATAAAATCTCCTGGCATATACTTTATCTAGTCTTATGTTATCTATTAGGCACTAATTAACCTATCTTTTGCTCAATCTGTTATCCTTTCTTGTAGTCGTGTGTCCTAATCAACTCTATTTTATGTGTTTTAACCAAACTAATTGATATTTTATATTCTCTATCTGCTTTAAAAAAAAAAAAAAAAAACGTATGGTAGTGAATGCTGGACAATCTCCTCACAGATAAACAGAAAATTTGAGGCAACAGAAATAAAGTCCTACAGAAGGATGCTAAGAATACCATGAATAGAGTGCATAAGCAACATAAATGTCTTCAGGAAAATGGAAACAGAAAGGACACTTCAAATCAGAAAGAGACATCTGAAATTTCTTGAACATATAATGAGGAAAGAGGGCTTAGAGAACTTAACACTGACAGGACATAACAAAGGCAAAAGAGACCAGGGAAGGAAGTAGGCTACCTTCCTGACAAGCTTATGTGAACAGATGGCAGGAAGGAAGAGGAAGCTATGGAGAGCCAAGATAAACCACATTCTAATGAGACACATCGCATTGAAGAAGAATGTTTCTCTTTCTATTTGAATGTAAAGTCCTAATGGGACTTTCTAACAACCATACAGTGTCTTCTTACAATTAATAATTAGTCCTTTCATCTCACTTTTCTCTAAGTGTTGCTTCAGTTTCCTTCCTGTATCTGCTATCAACACTGTGTCATCTGTATATCTTGTGTTATTAAGATTATCCAGTCTTTGTAGGACTTCTAGTTCTCTCTTAAATAAGTCTGGTAAGAAGACTTAATTCATCATTTTATTTTTTTAGTATTTACTGAATTCTTTTTCTATCCAGCAGGAGAGTTAATATGCTATTTAATAAAGTTAATATTAAGAATAAAGTACTTGTCTTGTAATAAATCAAACTTTTTGGTCAACCCAACACATTTTTAGGAGCTAACACAGCAGTCATATTCTCTGAAAGAGAAATTGTCATATCCAACTGGATTAAATTACCTCGATTTTAATGAAAATTTTTCAATATGTGAAAATAAATTAAAATCATTGACCACAGCTTGACAATCACAACCGAGGGCATAAATTGGAACAAAATAGTGTCATATTAAAATAGTGAATGATTTATAAATTTTCAAAGATATATTTGAAAGTAAGAGGGGCAGTAGAGAAACAGAAAGTAATGGGCTTGTGTAAATGAATGACAGAACAGGGAGAGAGAGAGAGAGTAAAACAAAAAACATTGCCATGAGCTACAAAGGATAGAAAGTTGTAGAAAGCCATGACAACCCATATCCTGAAGGTACTCAGCACATAGAAGAATAGATACAAGTCTTTGATCCCAAATTTTCACATTACCTATAAGATATACAAGAAAATTTCATAGTTCCTGGTGCTGCTGACAAGGGATTCCTTGCTTGGATCATCTCAGGCTAGCAATAAATCAGATATATGAGCTTATGGGTACATCATATTGAAACACCAGTTCCAGTATAATCACTGAAGGTAAGCAAAGTTGAGTCTGGTCAGTACCTAGTTGGGTGTCTGCTTGGGAATACCAGGTGCTGTAAGCCTTGGATGTGCAGGTGGTGCAATGGATAATGGCTTGGAATTGTTAATCAGAGAGACGAGTTCCAATTCTCATCGGGTTCATTATTACTTACACTTACATGCAAATACGCTTGCAAAAGGTATAATGGGTTAATTAGTGAAACTTGTATCACAAAACCATTATTATTTCAAAAAAATTCCTATCTAAATCTAAAATATTTTCTGGCTTTAAATAACCTGCAAAGAGTTGATAAGCCATAAAAAATAAATCCATCAGATATAGTGATTTAAGACAATTCCTAAATGGTGATGATGATCATAAAAACAATGACTGTCTGGGAGTGACTAAGGTGATTTTTTAATGATGTGAATCCATGCAAAAATGTCTGGTCCTAAATGATTAATATTCTTGCTGGAACCTATAGATAAGTACAATATGAATGTGGTACATTCAATCCATCCCCAAGCACAGTCTTTTGTCACAAGTTATCTTACCACCTGGGTAATCCATTAATTATGGATAAAGATGGAACTCTTCCTGCACATCTGTGAACCTTGGACATTAACAGCAGAATTACAGCAAAGAATCTAAGCATTAGAAATTAGATGCTACAGAACCATCCTTGGCTCCTATTTAGGCCACATCACAAATGACACTGTGAGGCACTATCAGGCCTGCTTGAAGACTTCATATCCACCGTCAAGAGAAAGCTGGAATGGTCCAGACGCATCATAAGGTTAGGTTACAAATGGCGATTATCTCCCTTTCATTTAGATAATCATGAGGATCATGTGACAGATGGTGAATGACATCAGGAGGAGATTGATGAGAAGTTGTCATGTAGAACCCAGAGATGAAAGACGTCCTTAGGCCACAGCAATAGATCTTATGGGAAAAATCACATGAACTAGCCCAGTTGGTAGAGAAGCAGCTGTAACCTGTGTTTTCCCTTCAGGAAACATAACAAGTAAGGTTCTCCTTTCTTACACACTGTTGAGGTGTATAAGTTCTTTGCGTGGAACACTCATATATATGTATATATCTTATTTTGTGTACAACATAACATTATAAACCTCTCTGTGAACTAAACATGCGTGTTATTCTTTTTCCATTCGGCTATTCTGTTCTGTCTGTGAAATATCAGTGTTTTTATATCATGGATATAGCATTGCCCATAATGAGAAAAATGTATTAGGGAAAATAAATATTTCTTTTCTATGCTCTCTGTTACACCACCATCATCCTACAAGGTACCAAGAAGAGGTGGACAGAGGAAAAAATGAAGTGACAATGTTACAGAGTAGACTGGAATACCATTCAGAGAGACTAGGACATTAGCATGTACCTGAGATAGAAGGAGGGAGCTGGTCAGGTGCTCAGCTGTACAGCAACCCTACAACTACAACTGACCAGGTGTAGTTGCAGGGTTGCTGTACAGGACTGATGATGTAGGGTTGCTGTACAGGACTGATGATGTAGGGTTGCTGTACAGGACTGATGATGTAGGGTTGCTGTACAGGACTGATGATGTAGGGTTGCTGTACAGGACTGATGATGATTATGAAAGATGGAAAAACTTGATTAATCTTTTGACTTGCTGTAACTACTATCTCACCATTCTCCACAGGAGCAATACTGCAGAATGTAAGTTCTAAAGCAATAAAATTTAGACAAACACTGCAAAGCGAAAGAGGAATATTTTTCTGCAGAAGGCAAATTGTTAAAAAACGTGTTTTTCAATAAGCATTTCAACTTATTAACAGATAAGAAATATATCATTTTGTTTTTTTCTACAATTATAACACTAGATTATTTGGGATTTTATTATCCATACCTACTGTTTACACATACTGCCAAAATAATACCATATATAAAATTGATTTATTCTTATAATTATTAGATTTTCACACACAAGTCTTTAAATATATTTTCCCATTTGTATTGGTAATAGAAAAATTGGTAACTTCTGTAAAAATTTGCCATTCATTGACAGAACAATCAGTGTTACTATCAGTTCAAACTTATAAAATTGTTTTATAATTTATTTTGTTTGTTTAATGACATATCAACTTCTTATGGGTCATTGAATGCTGAAATTTAATTTTCTTGAGAGCATTAATTTCTTTTAAAAAAAATGTATTGCTGGTATTTTACCAGAAAAAATGTTTATACTTTCTTGTTTTGTATACTTTTAGTGTTTTGACCCATTTTGTGGTTAACTATTTGCCTACAGCTGCATCCCTAACAGGTGCTACAACCCTGGGGTAGGGTGGACCTAGGAAAAATAGCAATTAAAAGGTGTTTCCATGCTCCTCAAAACCTCCTGATCAGTGGCCTTGATGCTGGATGTACCTTATTTTCATGGTTGTTTTTTATTAAACATTTTTTTTCAGGAAATTAGACTTAATGAAGGTTTCCTACCAGGGTTTTTTGAGAGAGAGAGAGAGAGAGAGAGAGAGAGAGATCCCCCACCACCACCACATGGGTTTATTAATCAATGGTTCTAAAGGATTGGGAAGAAGGTACTAATTAGTTGGGTAGAAGGGATTCTGGAGTAATTCCAGAAATAAGTTTATCTTTTACTTAGTTGTTTTTGGGATTGAATTATTAATTAACTAGGTGAATTAATTCCAGAGTAATTAATGGACGGGTTTGTTAGGTAAAGCTTGTGATAAATGGTGAATTGGATTTTGGGTGGTCTGCCAGGCGAAATCCAGCCAGAGTCCTCAGACGAGATGTGCTTTTCGCCAGGCTTAAGTGGACGTTGTCTGTGGAAAACCCAGCTGGAAGTCTGGATCCGATTTTAGTACCTCTTGAAAACTGGATTCCCGCAGAGCTTCGGAGATTCAGCGGAAAACACATGGTGGTGGTCCAGGCGATTTGCATATTAAAATTCATGGGCAATGCCTAAAAACTGTTTAGCTCCACCTCTCTCTATATAAGCAGCCTGCACGCTTGAGTAGATGAGATTGGAGATCAGATCAAATAGAATCGAAGAACGCATTGGAACGCGAAAGAAACGGCAGAGAGTGAGAGAGATCGCAGATTACGGACCACAAATCAAAGATCGCAGATCAGAGAACGTGAAGGAAAACGTGGCAGAAACAGCTTAATGGTTCTTGCTGATCTGGCCAGTTAGTTACATGCGTCAAAAAGTCCGAATCGTACCAAGAGATAGAAATCGAACCCGTGCAAACCCAGATAACTTCGTCAACAAAGCTGAGAAAAGCCGACTGCTATATCGGAGGGGGGCAGACGAAGAACCATGACTTATCTCCCTTAGTACAGCCGAATTTCAACCAGCATAATTGTGTCTTTCTTTCTCTGTGACGTTCCGACCCAAACGAGTGAATCTCGTTAAGACAGTTTGTATTTGTGCAATTTCTTTGGTAGTGATATAAAAATAGTAGCCTTAAAGGGCTCTCTGTACAGGGACCGAAAGTGTTGCTTTTTTTTTTTTTCTTTGTGCCCTTGCGGTTACAGCAAGAGCCTCTCTGCACAAATAGCGATTTCTTTCAGCGTGGAGCCCAGCTATTTAATTCATCCTACCTCCGGATCATTCTGAGAGATCAAAATACTGCTGTTCGGATCAAAAATTCACAACATGGCGGATAGTGGTGGTTCCTTCAGTTCACTGGAGGAGGACCAGGTGGTTTACTTTTCGTCCAGAACCACTGGAGAGACAGGACAGAGCTGTAGTCGGCAGGGCTTCTACATCAGATTGCAGAAGGATACTGAGAATTCCATGGATGGAATGAGAAAGCAACAAGGAAGTCTTAAAGAAAATGGCAACAAAAAGAATGCTTATACAGAATCAGGAAGAGTGAGCTAAAAATCCTTGGACACGTAATCAGGAAGAAGGCTTGGAAAACTTAACCTCAAAGGGCATATTGAGAGCATGAGAGATGGAGGAAGGCAGCTAACCACCAACTTGATGAGCTTGTGTGAATAGATGGTGGAACAGCGATGGAAGCCTTAGCAAAAGGAGAAAAACAGCTAAGAGTCACAATGAATAGGAAGTTTTGGAGAGCCATGATTGGCCATATCTGGAAGGGACATATCACATAGAAAGGATTTTACATTTGAGTTCTTTTACTGTTTTTTTGTTGTTTTTTTTTGTTTTTTTTAACAATATAGTGCCCTAAAAAAATGTAGACTTTTCACTACAAAAATGTGTCTAAAGTCTACGGTTAACCATTATCTTCACTGCATTATATAGCAGAAGAGCAGAAATCTGACAAAATGGCAGCTGGCATGAAAGTGTATATAAAGTAACAGTATCATTGAATTCCAACATCAAGAAAAAAAACTAACATTCATCAGCACTTGCCAAAGTTTTTTTTACAGAAATCAGACAGGGGCTACAAACACAGCAAGTAGGTTATGCATTTCAGCTACTATAAAAAAAAAATGCAAGATGGATATGCATCTCTAACAATGGTGGATGTCGAGAAAGTGATCTGTGGCTGAAAACCTTCTCTATCCAACATTCCATGTATCCATTGTAGTTTCCATGGAAATAAATAGGAAGCATTATTTTTGGAGCATCCTCTAATATATTTATTGCCATAATTAGTATTGTAATCTGCTTCTTTCAAAGAGTCAGTCTTCATAACTATCTTTGAAAGATCCATTATCATAACAAAGAGACTGCCACCTGACATTGGCAGAGGAAGGAAGATAACTCTGGTACAACAAAAAGTTAAAAACAAACAAAAATATACAAATATAGCATATTCTATTTATAAAGATTGGAAGTATATGCTAGGAAATTGCTACAGGTCTTACTGAAAAAAAACACTCACAACTCATTAAACATGAAAATGTCAAGTTTTTCAAAGAAAAATTAGCTTTCATTGGCTAAATTCCAGACATGAAATTCACTTGCTATGTTCTTCAGTTAATATCTGCCTGACGAATATAAATCAATATTTGCAGAGGGCAATTGGAGGAAATTATAACTATCACAAATCGATTTACATATGTTATTAATTTAGCCTGAAAATTCATCAGTAATATGA